CACCAGATGTTCTGCACATAAAAAATGACACTTTCCATAGCTTTTGATTGTCACTAATTGGCCATAAAACTTGCTGTCTTTTAAAACTGCCAGGAAATGGGGAAATGGCCTCAGCTACAATGCTCCTCCCAGCACTGAAAATTTCTGCCCGGGAATGTCAATTACTTTCCATCTCATCATCTGCACATTTTCCTGCACATTCTCACTGCTCAGCACTTGAACCTGCACATGAACTGCTCCTCTCTGAATGGAGTGCTGGATAAACAGAAGACAATCTGCAGTGCCACCTGGATGTGTCACCAGAGCCACAGCAGCCCCTGCACATTACTGGGGAAAACACGGGAAGAAAAGCCTGAAGATTACACTGAAGGAACCACAGGGAATGCTACATTTGACCTGAACTGTATAAATCACTTCTAGGAATAGGAAACAAAAAATTTATGGCCATTGCTACTAAATCCCACAACTTCAATACCTGGACTCCCCTTGCAAAGGACAACTGTCAGCTTTCCCCAGGTAAAACGCAAGTGTAAATCTCTACAGTTGCCCCCAAAGATGACATGTATTCCAGCCTTCCTCGTTTTTGTCCAGTATGAGGCTGCCAGTAACGACTCACATTCTGCTGTTAGCAGTTAAACAGAAAAGTAGTGAGTCAAAAGAAACTTTATGACATATAAAATGGTAGGAAACTCGGAACCTGAATGCCACCATGATCGTTCTACATTATCAGTTGACTGTTTTAATATTCTCCTGAGGAAAACACCACCGAGTACATCTTCCTCAGGCCTCATACACAAAGGCTTTTGTCACAAGTTCTCTCTCACCAAGATATGATTTATTTTTTCAGCTACTTGAATTGCATTTTGAGCTAATATTCCTTGAACTAGTAAACCACAGTGTCTCCAAAGATGTTAAGTGGCAGTTGTTCCTGCTTCTGAATGGTATCGAGTAAGAGTGGTTAGTTACATGAACTAAGAAGCTTTAAACAAAAGGGAGCCATCAGCTTTGACTGCTCTGGAAACATTTCTGCCTATTCCTAGGCAAAACCTACATAAATCATAACTACCTTCTGAGCTCTGCTACATCCACTCCTCATCTTATTTATTGCCAGTTTTGTTTCAGTTAACATTTGTACAAGTCAAACACTTGTTCATGATTTGTTTTTAAATAATCCCTTTATTACTTCCTCTTCATTTTCCATTCAGTTATCTTTATTCTTCTGTCACTGCCAACCACTTGAGATTCTGCTTTGATTTATCTTACAATGAGGGTTAAAACTCCTTTTTCCCTGCGTGTTGCTTTCATGTTCCTTTTCTACAAATGCTTCCATGTCAAACACTTGCTGGGAGCAGTATCTGTACCAGGCTTACAATTTTCTTACCTGGTTCCAACACCCTACTTCTCTTTTCTTACCTCTGTTAAGCACCTAAACACCTCTGCCAGCACCCTGAACTGAATTAAAATAGATAGAGAATCTAAGTCCAGGGCATCAAAGTCCAACCAGAACTGTGCTGCTTCCTCATCCATAAAAGAAAACAAACACTCACCATACAATATGTTGCAACTCCTCTCTATATGTAAGTAAGTTTTGGCACCCTGGGTACCTAACTCCAAGCCTAAAGAAGCCTGCACCTCACAGAACTCTGCAAGCTTCCACAAAAACCTAAAGAGGAAATGCAACTGTGGCTGTTGCTTTACCTTCCCTTAAGAAGCCTAATGAAATTTCTCACTGGAAACTTCAAAGTTCAATATGAAAATTAAGTTCTTTCAAAAAGTTCATTAAACTGTTTTTATTGGGAGGGAAGGACACAACAATTATTTCCATCCAGAAACGAAGCCCAGCTGCAGAATCATAAGTACATCACTACATGCTCATAATTCATAAAAGATAACAGAATTCCTTGTAAGGATTGAAAGGATCAGACAAATTAAATACAGTATTGACAAGTTGATTAATCTCTTCAATCCCTTACTACCAGTTATTTCATTAGATCAGCACAACACCTATCTGCCAGTAACACATACAACCACGCTTAATTTTCCATGTGGAGAACACAAGCTATGGAACATTTTTATTCCAATGCTAATTCAGTATTCATTTCTAATTACTCATCTCTGAACCAGGAATAATTTAGGATTTAGTGCTATCATGCCTAACAGGGGAAATATAAAAGAAAAGTGTAGATGCCAAGAATGCAAGACATTTCAATGCATATGGCAACTATAGAAGTCTCTATTCAGAGGGAATGAAATTCCCCCAGGTGTCTATATTTAGGATCAAAGAACTTTTTAAAATACAGAACTTGGAGTCTCCAAGGGATAAAAACTACAAAACTGTCTGCAGTGAACTTTATTTAACCTAAGGTTTTGTGCCAACTTAAATATGCTGCAGCTCTCCACTTGAAAGATAGCATTACCCACTTCGTGTTCTGAAATGCATGGAAAAGCCATTACAGGGATAATCAGCAGAACTATAAAATAGAAAAGCAATAAGATGACAAAACCAGATACAACTCCAATAGCTTCCTTTTCAATTCAGGCAAGCAGTGTTTCTTTTAAAGTGATGATTATCATATTAAGGTTTATCTCTCTAACCACACCTTAAAAGCAAACGCATCTTAAAATCTAGGCTAGATTTTTATTCTAGACACTTTACAAGTCAGGTACTCAAACCAACCCAAATGGGTGGTGTTCCAGGCACCAACTTCTGTGCAGAGCACTGGCCTGTGTAGCTGCAGTAGCTACCAGCTGCATCAGGTGGAAATTCACGCAGTGAAAATGTACTTTAAAATACTTTCCACAGCAAGATGATAACGATCTATTGCTTCAGTCATGTTTTTCTTGAGTAATTGGAATTACCTTTTTTTCTTTCCCAAAACTTCACATGTCCTAGACATACTCATAAGGCACATACAAGATAGAGCAGAAGGGAGTAAAAGACAAAGTTCTACCCTGTACCATGTATATAACACATCACAAACTGTACTTGAAATGTCAATTTCTTATCATAGGGACATTTCTGGCTTAGTTTTCTAGCAGAATTTGGTGCTTAAAACAGTGCAACATAAAGGGAAGAATTATTCTGATAATTTAAGCGTTTTTTTGCTATTATTTTCTATGTAGCAGAATTAAGATCCATGTTTTGGAAGGAGGATTAATCAAGGTTAATTCCATAATGTACTACTAAGCTATCCTAAATGATATAATTCTGTCCTTGTTCTGCAAAAGGACAAATCCATAATCCATACAAAAAACTTTTAAAAGGGAACCGTGTGACATTTGCATCACAGACATTTCGGATATATCAAGGAGAAAGAAAAAAATATACCTGGGAAGACAGATAAATAGTCCATGGGGTGATTTTCAAAGGTATAAATGGAAAGCAGGCCCTCAGCTCCCCCTGAATTTTGAAGGGAGTTCAGCATCCAACTGCCCTTCTACCTTTGAAAATCTCCTTCACAAACCCCTTGGTTACAAATGACTCCAAAGTTCAAAGAATGACCTTGCCCTTGTGGGAAACAGAGGAAGGCTCGTGCCTTTTAAAGAAAGATTTATGAGACTGTTGCTGCGAATGTGACTGTGATGAGGAAACAACACTTTATAGAAAGGAAACCCTAAAGAAACACTCTATTGGGTGGGGTGGATGGGTCACAAGAGACTGGAACCATGAGTAAGAATGTATGGGCAACCACCTCGTGTGGGTTAGGACAGTAATATCAACACAACAGTATTTTGTTTTAATTTCTTGGAATTGCCCCAAATGGGCTAATGCTGGGAACAAGATAATTACAATAGAGAAGGTGTGTGTTATCTTTCCCCATGGCTCAGCTTATGGTCTGGCTGGGTTAGACATGCTCAAAGCTCTGCACTTGGTGACAGGCTGGCGATCTCTCTGGCAGTTTAACTCAGTTTGATAATGTTAGTCTTAAGCTACATGTAACTATGCAAACTCTACATGACACCTTTTTCATCTTCTGAATTGCCTTTTCCCACTAACATGGGCAAAAGAAGTAATTTCTTTGTATACAAATAGGTTGATTAGGTTGTGAAAGGATGAACCATGATAATACAGATGTACAAACTTACCAGTCTGGAAACTGAAAATAATCGGAAGCAAAGAATTTAAAAAACCCCAATTTTAACACCACATCATTATGTGAAGAAAGCATTACGCCAGTTCTACCTGGGATCACAAAGTTCATTTAAGGTTCATGTTGACACACCACGTATGCAATGAAAGCTACTGCAAGAACATATGTTTGTTCACTATCAAATACAGTATCAACCATGATCAAACCCACTTCCTCTTTATGGCTGCTGTCGCAGATCATAACTCTCTGGCACTAAAGGTAGTTATTTTCACTGATAACACAGATATAACTGAATTCCCCCAGTCATTATCAGGAAATACAAAAGAATGTTCAACCATGCAGAGACTCTGGAATTAAACTAAAGATAAATGTTTAGCAATCTAGGAACTCCCTTCTTTGTTGCTATTTGGCATAGAAAAAAATTAACTGAAGTGTTAGCACAATAGTTGATATTCACATCAAAAATAAAAGTTAAAAACTCCTGTTCAACTCAGCCCCTCAAATACTCCAAATGTCTATATGCTCTCTTTATATATACATACCATACACATAACTTTCTTCATTTGCATTCTTTATATAGACATATTATATACATAACTTTCTTCATTTGCATGTAGGAGATGACACTACACCCAAGTAACATTTTAGTTCTCACTGTGCATTTAACCTACAAATACATGTGTATCAAGAGTAAGGCCTTGAGTGGTTTCCCTGACTGCTGCAGGGTTCCTGGCATCCCTGCAGTGTACATATAAAGTGATTTCAAAGAAATCTACACTTCAAAATCACTTTTTACAAAATGAGGAGGACATAAAGCAATTTAAAGATGGTCAATAATTCTGTTTAACTTGTTTCCCCACTACTTTTTTCTTATTGTTTTATCAAACTTATTAATATCATAATTATTACCTTTGCAGCTGAGTTTGATACTCCATGCGTGACATTTCTTATGAGACCACCAACATTGCCATATTTTATAAGTCCAGTAACACCTTCTGAAACATCATTCAACAGACCCATAGGGTTGCCGAGGAAATCCACAGAGCCTAGAATCCTTGCTGCCTGACTAAGCAGCTCCTGAAAAATCAACAGGAAGAATGAAATATCGCTTATGGATCACACTACCAGCAGCACAATTGATTAAAAGCCCTGCCCACAATAAAAGGATATACAAACCCAGGTTGTTTTACTGAAGAAATGAACACACAAATACCAGTAATATCAACAACAGTTCAATCCTAAAATGCAGTGTATTCTTAGAAGCATGTGATGCTATTTCTCCATTTACCAAAGCAACACAGCACTAACACTGAAGTAAACAGTCAAGAAAGCATTCCCACACCCTGAGGATAGAACTCATTGATCAAGAGAAACTCAGCCTCTGGCACAGTAAAATCTGTAAGACACTTACCTCTTGAAAGTGTTTCAGAATGTCATTAAGGATAAACTCCTGAGTTTCGTACGGATGGACCCTAGTGAAAGGATCCAGATTAATCACAGCATCTTCAAATCGGATTAGAGGAAATCCCAGCGTGCTTTTCAATGCCTAATGAAATAAAAGATATTGCTACTTTAATTTTTCTCTTTCTCATCCACAACACCCAAGTGAATTAATCTTTAAATGGATAATAACCCAAAATTAACTGAAGCTGCTAGAACAGTTTACCACCGCCATGCAGATGCTTTGATATAGACGGCAAGCACTCCACAAAACTCTGACTTGTAACCCATGATCCATTATTAGAACTGCATTTCTTCAGTGACTACACAGTCATTAAACACTCTTCCTGAGGCAATCTGGTTCAAAACAAAATGTTTTTAAGATTCTACACTTAGCACTTTACTGTAACCGCTCTAATGTTCAATTAAACACAAATTTAAATGAATTTCCTTGATATGTAGTGAAGAAAAAACTGGGTATTTTCCACCCTGTTGAAGTTCTATGACTGGATTAAGTGTGAGGATGAGCTGGAATTTCTTGCAAACCTGAGGCTCATTTCTTAACATTACGTGGTGTACTGAGATACTCTAAACAAGCTTTTTCAATAATTTTCAAGGAAGAAAACTAAACCAGTAATTAGCCCATGGGCCATCTGTAACATGTACAATCTATACACAAAAAACCCCCTCTTTAGGGTGGACAAGCTATATAGCTGTATATGCACACACATAAATAATGTTGGAAAAATTAACAAGAAAACTAATCGTTTAAGAAAGAAAGAGATCCCTTCTATTTCAGGTCTTGATGATCGCATCTGCACAGTCACCAACATCAGAAAATCTGGAGAAGGAAGAAGCCCGACACTCGCATTATCTACGTTCATCTCAAAAGCACGCTTGGTATAGCAGGTAATGTGAGTTTTTCTGCCATCTGCAGGCACGTAGTGTACATTACAGGTCTGAGTTCAGTTTGCAAGTAAGAAAGGGCCTGTTTTTCTTTTTCAGTAAATGGATGACTGACTAGACTAGTCCTCATTATTCACCTGGGTAGGAAGTAATTTCCTGTTTAACTATCAGATACTCTATAAGGCAACTCTGTTAATATTGGGTACCAACCCAACAAAAATAATCTCTCTACACCCAAATTACCAGACAGCAATGTCCAAGCCAGGAACATTAGAGGTAGTTAGAAAAACGTCTCCAAAGGCTCTACAGTGATTATTCTTTCCCTCCCACCCTGAACTCCGCTGTGCTATAAAACTGAATGGAATTCTTTATGTGGAAGTCAATATCCAGAATACAGTCAGTGACTGTTATCATTTGGGGGGAAGGGAAATAACGTATATGCCAAACCTTGGGAACGCTGCTGGTGGCTGCCAAGACACATCTAGAGGCAATCATATACCCAACGGTTGTAGGAAATCCAAACAGAACAGTGTGCATGTTCTTAAAGGCACCCATCACTAACACCGTTTTCTCTCTCTAAATTTGAGATAATCAGATTATAAGCATTTTGAAGTCGAAGCTCAAGTGCAAACGCATTCAAGACGCTGCTGATGTTCAGTGGTAAGGAGTATTACCGCTGCTACTGAATGTCTCTCCTTTGCACAAGGAGTTGGTAAAAGCAATACAAGAATGCAGGACTGATGATATCCTGGGTCATCCTGGCAGGACTCCATGATTTACATTCATTCCACAAAACTCAACTTTTTTAAAAGCTTGCACACCCCAGTGATAGTAAATCAAGGGCACGAAAAAGCCTGCCCAGTGTCTCAATTTTGGGTTTTGAGCACAAGTTGAACAGGCAGCAGCTCAGTTCCTCCACAGTGGGGAGGGGTTTTATGGTTTGGTCAGTCGATCTTGCTTCAGCTCTTCCACCTTGGAGGAAATCAGCTGTATTAGCTCAGAGGGAACTGAAATATTGCAGACCGTTGCCACCTTGTTAGGTCCAGGAAGGTCCCAACACGCAGCTTGGCAACACAAGTTGGGTAAGATTATCTTCTTGCTGTAATTTGGAATCCTTGGTTCACTTGAACAACTGTGCCACAATACGTATTAACATGTGAAAGGGACACAGGATTTTCCACTTCTCTAAGTCCACACTCAATCTGAATTCAATTCGATACTGAACCAAACTGCACAGTGCTCATGCAAACCCTCCTATTGCAACAACATTTTTTGGATGAAAACAGAGTTGTCCTGTATTTCTGCTCCCTATGTTGAGTATCTTCTGATTTTAATTCTTCACATCAGCCCTTCTGTTTGACAGACACTCCCTTTAAGCTCTTTACAGTACCATGAATGTAACTAAGATCCTTTGTAAAGTAGTGAGTTAGGTGAAGTTGGCTGTGCTACAACTGAAATTACAAAAATGAAAGAATGTTACAGAAGAGACTGTAAATTATGCACATTAAATAACAGAAGCTACTGGAATTCTTCTATCATTCCTAACTTAAATAATGGAAGAGTAAACAGAAATTAACAGTAGTTAGTTAAAGCTGCTGTTCCCTTTTCCTCCTACAATAGAATCTATTTACTTGGAAGCATACTCTGTGAATGCACTGGCATACCTTGAGGTCCAGAGGCAGCTTGTTGGAAGTGAAGACACTCAACTTGATTTGAGGGACACTAATTTTCAGGTTTTCAAAGTAGTATCGCTTTTGTCCTCCACCTTGTTCAACAACCTTTTCATGGAGGTTTTCATCATACTTCTCAACCTCTGCATCCAGACAAAACACAGGAATCAGAATATAGATAAATAAATATGGGGTTATGAACACATACTTATAAAGAATTAAGAGATTCTCTGTACAAATAAAAAGTATGTGCAACTGCTTTTGTAGCCAGCAGAATTACTCATGCCTCGTGACATGAGGTTGACCTTTTAGGTTTATGAATGTGTCCTTCAGATCTGCCTGCATCTTTAAAACCTGACTGTATTTGTAGCTAGGTAAAGAGAAGTCATCCAAGTGCATAGCTGAAGTTACTTGAGCTTTTAATCTTGCTTCTAATTTATCTTTGTCAGCATAGAGAAACCAGGAGATACGAACTATGCACTGTTTCCTACTGGGTAGTCATGGTCTTACAACACCTCTTTCTCCTTTCTCTATACTTTCTTACAAGCTCAACTATCAACATAATGTACAAAGCAAGCAAAGGTGACCACCTTTTCATTTATCACACTGAATGGACAAAATGCCTACATGGAACCATTCAGTCAATCAATTTATGTCCTGAGTGAGCTAAATTTGGTTGACACTAACAAGTCCATGTGTTACTCATAAGAGCATCTTGGTGGCGTGAGAAAGCAGGGGGAGGATGAGAGATGACAAAGCCTTATGAATTCAGGTTGAACAATTAAATGTGTTGAATGTAAATGACAAAATAGTTTTTGTCTGAATCTTTGATGACATCATCAGCATCAGCAAACAAACTGCAAGGTGTACAGTAATAAGGAAACAAAAAGCAGCAAAAGCATCAGGGTAAACCAAAACAAAGGACAGATTAGTAAACAGCAAAAGAGCAAAACTCAAAATCTTGATTTCTTTCTCATTACTACAGCTCTAAGTCATTATATGCTCTGTGAAACCGGGGAGTGTACTCTTCTTTTTTTCCAGAGACAAATCTGAAGGTACTGTAGATTAGCAAGACATAGAACTCTTGAGCATCATTTGTAGGCTTGCCCCCATTTGGAATCATGACAAAAATATTTTTTTCCTGCAAGTTATTTTACTATATAACCCTACACACCCCACTGCAAAAAAGTGACTTTTTCAATTGCCACTCCAAAACAGACATTCCAGAAAGTTTCCATCAAACAGATAAACCCTGCAACAGAAGGATTAGAACAACATCTATGAGAAGATTTAAGAGCTCTGTCTTGCCTCATTGAGTGGAAGAAAACTTCTATTACAATCAGAGCCAGGGGTATGGATGCCACAACTCAAAGGTCAGGCAGCCAAAATTTTCCTTCTGTTAAGTTAAGAGGACTGCCCAAGAACAAATGAACAGAGATCCCGTTTCTAGCCTTGGGTTGAAATAAACAAACATTACTAAACAAAGTGGTTTGCTAAATTAGTAACACAATTTATTTCATCCCAATTTAGATGAATCCAGATACAGTAACTTAAGACAAACTAAACTCCTTCCCACAGAGGCTCAGCTCAACCACTGAGAGTAGCGGACAACACGTTACACTGTTCATTACCCCAATACCATGTACTTTAAGAACTTTACATGGGCCACTGAGACATCAGCTTTCCAGCTTTCTGTTCAACAGAAGTTTCCAAGCAGCAAAGAGTTTGCCGGGTGTTTTGCCCTTATTTTAGATGCAAAGATCATAATAGCCCTGTACGTTATAAAACTAGTCTTTGCAATTTCATACTATACCTGATTCAGACTGATCATAGCCAAAGAAACTCAACAGCTTCAGAAGCAGTTTCTCCTCAATTTGAACAGTGAACTTCCGAGCAGTGATCATCAGGTGCTATGAAGATAAACAAGTCTCAGTTTACAATATTAACACTCAAAATATAATCCATGCAAGCCATTAAATAGGACGATATGTTCTACTTCAACAGAGTATTTTCACTGGAATGGATTTGAAGTAAAATTCCCACCTACAAAATGTCTTTGGCAGTTTTCTACACTTAAAATTACCTACAACTACTGACAAAAAAAAGTTGGGGCTGTTCAGCCTGCAGAAGAGAAGGCTGCGTGGAGACCTCATGGCAGCCTTCCAATATCTGAAGGGGGCCTACAAGGATGCTGGGGAGGGACTCTTCATTAGGGACTCTAGTGGTAGGACAAAGCGTAATGGCTTTAAACTTAAACAGGGGAACTTTAGGTTAGATATAAGGAAGAAGTTCTTTACAGTGAGGGTGCTCAGGCACTGGAATAGGTTGCCCAAGGAAGTTGTGAATGCTCCAACCCTGGCGGTGTTCAAGGCCAGGTTGGACAGAGCCTTGGGCGACATAGTTTAGTGTGTGGTGTCCCTGCTCATGGCAGGGGGGTTGGAACTAGATGATCTTAAGGTCCTTTCCAACCCTAACTACTCTATGACTCCATGATTCTATTTTTTGGAAGGTATTGTGCTTCATTGCCTAATACTAACACTTCAGAATCTGATGCTTGGCTGTTTCCAACACTGAAATCAGCTGTTTTCAGAATAGCATCAAAATACATGGGGGAAGATTCCAAGTGAGAAAATAGGTCTTAATAAGCAATTCTGGTTTGCTCTCACAATGCATAGCACAGCTGGTGGACACATTTCCAAACAGCTGTAGTACACAGAACAGGGTTTATACTGCAAGATAACAGCTTATCAGAGAGAAGCAGTAACCTTGTACACAACTCATGAGAAGCATACACAGATATTCTGGTTCTCTATCGTACCTGTCAGTTCTAAGGGGAGAGTAACTGGCTTGAAAAGTAAAGTCACAGACACAAACTAAACAGGCCTAATCTGTTTTATTTTTAAACATATTTATTATCTTGTTCATCACTGTACTGCAGCTTTAAACTCTATGACCATAGAAGGTGGATATAGCCTCCTTTAAGCCTCAGTATTAATTCAACAAAGCATATTTTTCACATTATTGAATTTGGAGTACTAGTAAAAATCAGGAACAGGAAAGTTCATTTAAAGAGATTAACACGTGCAGGGCACAATCAAAGGATGGTGGTTTGTTTACCTTGTATATATCAGTCAGTGCATTTTTACTGGGAAATTTCATTGCATTTACTTGCACAGCAGGACCAGTCTCCACGGATTCATTTTCACTTGTCTTAGGTGTCAGAAAGAGCATGAAAGGACGTGTGGTGCCAATAAGCTGGTTGTCCACCTACACAGTGGACAAGAGAGACAAGAGAATCTGAGTAAGTGACAGTAAACATCAAGATTGATCTTCCTCAATCAAGGAGTTAAAAGCTTTCAGAAATACCTGGTCCCTGAGCCAGGGAGGTAGTAAATATACTTGGTTTGGTTACTGATCACCACTGAGACTATACCAAACAAATATTGGAAATGCCCTCCATTTAAAAAATGGTTTTAACTACCAACAAAACCTGTAATAAAACTGCCATGTTCTCTGATTCTTTTTTTCCTGCTTCAAAAAACACAGCCAAAAATGTTAAACACCCCCAGAGTTAAGCTACTCCTGCACTGAAGTTTATCTGATGCATGTTAAGTATCTCGTGTAATCTACATCAGGAGCTACAATTCCCCTTCCCAGGAAATCTTACATATTGGAAACAGAATTCTAGTAATTTAGAGGAGGTTTTTTATGATCTTCAGCTTATCTTCTGAATTTCAAAGACTGAACAGAAAACAAAGGTTAAGGTAAAATTCTGCGAAGTCAAAACCAATGTCTATTTGTAAACAAAATATAAGAGGTTTATATTTGTCTTATCTGCCTATGATCTGTCATTTATACTGTGATACTACCAGCATTAGGATTCCTGCTTTCAACAACTGCTTTTTCATTATACAATGACAAAGAACCAGGAAGGGAAAAAACCCTCAAACCAACCTGTTTGCAAAATAAGAGATTCTAACTTGTCTATTCGAAATCCATGGCATGAAATACAACATATCCTTGTCTCAACTATTACTAAATAGGCGACATGAAAAAAGGAAACACCGACGTAAACTGAAACTTCTATGATGTTTAAGATTTGAAATCTCAGTAACAGCTCTAAACATCTTTCAAACCTGTTACAACAACAAAACCCACAGAAGATCCATGAACAAATACACTGGTTTCAAAATAGCAAATACCTGTATGTCCTGCACACTGAGCTCCAGGACCTGACTTGTTGACAGTTGTGTGTAGTGGATATTAATTCTTGTGAGGCTTGCAAACACCAGCTCTTCAGGAACCTTGTTGACCAAAGACAATCCTATTCCACCTTCCAGTTTCACAAGCACCTGAGAAAAGAGTATTTGAAGAAGAAAAGAAATCCCACTTACCAACCAACACTGAAAAAACCTGTGATACTGAATACACACTTCTGCAAAGAAGTTATTTTTTTAGACTCATCTCCAGAGTCTGAACAGCTCATTGACTAAAATTAGTCTTCAAATGAAGAGGTGTTGACACATAAACCCAACTTCTAAGAATGAAGAGTTTTAGCAGGAAAATCTACAACTTCATAACAAGAGGTCATCATGGGGAAAAGTTAACAGCTACCCCCAAACTCCTCTAAAATCTAGAAAGAAAAATGATAAATAACAGGCAGACACTAGTCATACTATCTTACTTCTAATTCCTGCTCTGTATCTGGGTTTTTCAGCTTGCGCAGATCCTGTTCTGTAACGGGAAGTTCATCTCCTTCACTGGATAAACGATCATTTCTACGTTGGTTAAAATCCATTATCTGATAAACAAATACATTACTACAATGAGCACTTTCCAATTTATAAATAACAGCTATATCATCCTACCTTATAAAATTATCTTTTAACAAATAAGTACAGTGAAAACTTTTGTTGTAATTATTTCTGGTTTATGACATTCCCCTCCCGCTTTGTATTATTATGAAGGAACTTTTGTTAGGAATTTAGAGATGCAATACAGAAAAAGGTATTTCAAGAACAAGCAAATAGTGAAACAAGATTCTAGTTAATGAAGGGTTTTCACCTGTAGAACTCTAGTTGGCCCATCTGGGATGACTCTAACAGCCAGTACTCCTGACCCAGGCCTCATCTTTTGGTTTATGAACTGCTGTTCAGGTGGAACTGGCCCCAAAAGATCAAGTGAGGTATCAGGACCAAGAACAACTTCTGCTCCATCATGAAGACCTACTATTCCTCCCTTTGCCTGCAGAACAAAGAGCAAGGGGAAAAAAATAAATAAATGATAGGGAAAGGCTTCAGGTAACTATTTACATATATTAAAAGTGTAGGGGAAAAATAAAAGAACATCAAAATTCTTTTGACATTTAATTCTAGACTCTTTAAAAGCAATCCAGGTTTCTGTGCTTATAAATGCTACCATCAGGAGGCAGATTTATCAAATAGTTTGCAAGTGTTAGCTGTCTGCAAGTCAAGAGTTTTCTGGAACACAAAGACAGAGCAAACAGTTCAAACTGCTTCTAAAATTATTATTACTAAAATGTCAGAACCGTGACTGTGAGAAGTGTTTGGTAACACACAAGTCTTGACTTTATCAGGAACACTGATGGACCCAATCCGCAGCATGTGCACATTTGGTATGCATGAGAATATCCAGGCCTTATTTATCCCTACACTGTTACATTTCAACAACAATGTACTACTAATTTTTACTTTCAAATTAATAGTGCAAGATGTTTAATCACTTGAAACTGGTAAGAACATTCAACCATGAATTTAAACCACGTGAGCTGTTTGCTCAAGTGCGATTTCCTCTGTAATCTGAACTTTGGCCTCAAAGCTTTTAGCTCTCTTCAATCCTAAACCCAAATGACTCCGTCATCTGTATCAGCAGCAGTCAATAACAAGTTCAACATAGAATCAGTACTGACCTGGACAACAAGTCCATGAATACCACAGGTCAATTTTCCATCACGAAAGTTCCATGTCTGGGTAGTGCTGCGCCGTCGATCAGGCTTCCTCAACATCAGGGGCTCATACCTGCAATGAAAGAATGCCAACTTGTCAGTTCTAGTCTTGAGTTAATGGCAAACACTTTAATTTTGTTCAAGCTCATTTCCCTAATCTCACTTCTAAAGTGCTCTTCTTGAGATGCTGAAAATACGTTAGCCATGTTTTTAAAAAATATTTCCAAGTCACAAAAGTGATCATAAGGTCTGTCACAAAGACAGATAAAATCTAATTCTTCTACATGCCTATCAGAATGATTTCTTTCTTTATTCAGAGAACATCATAGAATCATATAATAGTATGGTCTGGAAAGGACCTTCAGATCATCTAGTTTCA